GACCGGGGGCTGGGTGGCCGGAAGGGGGGGGGGGGTGGCCACCCGCCTGCAGAAGCAGGCAGCTTCAGAGGTGGCCAATCTCAGGGGGGGCACCCCCCCATCCCCCTCCCTATGTATTGCCTATGTGAGGAAGGGCATGTGTGCCTGAAAGCTTGCAGAAAAAGATATATTTTTTTTGCAATTTATTAGTTGGTCTAATAAAAGGTATCATATCTGAACTAAGAGTTCTCGAGTTTTGCATTTTCTCTTTGTGTCTCCAACAAATTCTCTCAGCCATGGAATACCTTTCATTTTATCCTCTCCGTGACCTGCCTAATGCACAAGTGAAAAAAGCAGAAAGAAGCAGCTGAACCCCTAAAAACAAATATCCTGTTTACAGCAAAATAACTAGGCCCCATCCCTAGTAGCGCAATAGTCCCAAATGCCCTGTAAATGTATTAGTACATTTTGTGCAATGCATCTAGTTGCCTCTAGAGACAAAGTAAAATGTGGATTTCACCTTGGAGAGCAATGCTTTTGCCCAGCCACCTCCACAACTGGCAAGTCAAGGCAAATGTTTAGTGTGGGACAGGGACTTCTACAGGCAGATTTAACCTATTGGTGCTGCTAGTCATTCTTTTAGATGCTAAAACCAAGCATTATGCTGGCAGGGCAAAACAGCTTTAAAACTGGCCTAGTGTTCAGCTAAGGATATCCTGGCATGAGGAAGTCCCCAAGCTGGCACTGGCATAGCCAGTTCTGCATCACTCAAATGGAATGCTCCAGAGAGAAGAGCACACAGTTCCCTGGTCATCTCAGCAACCACCTTTACATTGATTAGTCAGCTGTAAAGTTGGAAACACACTGTGATTGCTCTGCCCTCCAACAAAAGACAGAATAGCTTCCAGCAACCCTGACTGGGAGAGCACCACTGAGCTAAAGCCCTATCTCTAGGGTGCACAACACTTAAATGAATTGTTCCTGTTCTTTATCATGTTCAGTCTGCGAGATAAACGAACACTACAGTTTATCTGCCATTACTTCACAGATGAAACAACAAAGGGAAAGATTGTTTATTGAAGACAACAGCCGGTTCCCTGCCTTTAGGGATTCTGAGAATGTCAATGCCATCTCCCTTTTTTTACTGGTTTATTTCACAAGCTCCTGCACCCTAAAAAACCTCCTATGAAGACTTGATCCATCTCCTTTCTGAGCCACTCTTAACCCAACTGCTGGGAGAGGTGGAGGCAAGCAGGTCAAAACATGTTGCTCACTCCTCTGGCTGGTGCAGTGATTTAGATTTTTAAGGTGAAAGGTAGGGGTGCACCGATAGAGATTCTGGGGGCCAATACTGATAGCCAATTTTTAAGGCGGCATATTAGCCGATACCAGTCCAATTTCTGATACAGCTCGGAGAGCTGCGTGCAGCTGGTAAGTCTGTTGTGGTGGAAGGGGCGCCCGGGGG